GTAAAGTGTACAAAAAGTGTAGGTCGTTTTTTTATAATGAGAGATTAAACAACTAGAAAAACTCACATTATGCAATTATCGTGTACCTACAATAAATATAGGGTCCCCCACAAGCGACGAACATTGAGTTTCATTTTAGTTTTTGACTTCTTGTTGTTTTGTTATAAAATATCTGTTTTATTATTATAAGATTTGCTTGATATGAGAGAGGACCGGTATTTTTATTTAATTTCTTATTTGATTAGATACGTTAAACAATCTATATACATATAAATTTCTTGCGGTACTGAGTGATTCACCGACTGACAGACAACGTAGGTACAGCCGAAACTGTTGAGCGTAGAAAGTTGAAATTTGGAATGAAAATTCCTTAGGGAGTGTAGAGGACCACCAAGAGAGGTTGAAAATTCCGCCCGGGCTAAATAGGAGGATTAAAGTTTGTATGACACTTCGTTAGTACAAGTGCTAGTAGTTCCAAATTCTGATTGCGGGTTCTTTTTAGAACGTAGGTACTCACTAAGACGGTTTTTTACGAAATTGAACCACTAAGGGGGTAAATTATTTATGGAATTTTCTCTTTTCTGGACTTGAAACTAGATTTTTTTTCCCAATTTCAATAAATATTGTGATTATTATTAGCAAGAATAAATACACAAACTGCCAATCTCACAAAGTCACGAGACGTAATTTGCGAGATCTCGCTTAAACAAATCTCGCGAGATTGCATTCCCTACCCAGCCCTGTGTGTCACAACGTGAATGTGTTTCATATAGATTCGTTGTCTCAGATACTCCATAATACGGGGGCTTTAGCTACTCATCTTGGAATCTGAGCAAAGTATGTGATGTTGTTAAATATTTATTTTATTTATTTATGAGCCCCGTTTCATGTGTCGTGTAAATGTATGAAATACTGCGCGCACTTGTGTAGTCGGAGCGGGCTAGATATATTCGTAACTTCAAACATTAGTGCGTTGGAAATAGTGTTTCAAATTTCAATATTAAAACTTGGCATTTGAGGTAATGAACTGAGTGCTGAAATCGCCGTTCTGCTAACAACGTCGAAATAATAGTCTGTAATCTAGAAAAGGTTTAAGACTTCTTACATTCTACTTCACATGGAGATTTGGAAAAAGAGAAAATCTGTTCTGAATAGCGCGGTACCAGTAGAAAGAACCATGTTTACAAGTTACAAAGATGTACCTTACCGAATTCGATTGCCCCGGCTGACGTCGTGACAACAGTTGCGAGTTGTACTACGATAGAGACCTTATTAACCCAGGGTTCGCAAAAATCCGATATTTATAATAAATATCAAAATATCCAATATTATTTATCCGATATATATCATGCTTATGAAAAGTTGCGATTTTGGAGCTGCCACTGGCTTTATTTAATATTTGATCTTTCAAATCAAAAATGTAAAATAAAAATTGAGTTATTTAGTATTTGTTTATTTATAATAAATTAATTGAAAAGTAGTATGTCAGCGAGAATTTCCATTAACGTATAGGGGAACACCCGACATTTTTAATAAGTAAGATTGCTACTTCGGGTCAATGTTGCTAGCGTCACATCGAATTTATTAATTTTCTAGCTGAGACTGAATACTCAATACTCAAAGTAACAATAAATATTATAAATATCAATTGATATATATCCGTTGATATTTATCAGCGAACCCTGCCTTAACCTAAAGCATCAAAGTCTATGTTTCAAGGGTGTTGATACTCGTATTCTATTACATGGTGAGTATTCTGTGCTTGATATCTTGCTTTCTTCTGCACAACGATAAAAATGGTACTGAGTGTAATGAGTACCTATTGTACATAGGCCCGGATCGACGATTCGTATGGTGCCTTTCCTCAAAGTTAATTTTGGCGCCCCCCTAACACCGTTGCCAGGGGCAAGCGCCCACTTGTCCCCCCACCCTTCAATCCAATCACGAGCGTAATATTACATTAGTTATAGTTGAATAATAAGCATGGGTTCACTAAATAAAACACAAAATTCATTGTGACTCTTGTTTACAACCATTCACAAATGCAACTTTTGACTTTAAAGCGAAATAAACATATGGAATAAGTATTGATATTGTTCTCGACTCATGGCATAATACAGATTGTTCTACTTTACACGCATGGTTAATTAATCCATCTGCTGTTTAATATATAATCTTACACAAACAAACTTTACATAAGTAAAAAAATAGACAAAAATGTATACATAATTGATTAAGTACGGAAATCAAGCTCCATAAAATCTGAACTTAGGTATGATATTTTTAAATTCCATAGGCAGAATAAAGGAGATACTGAATTAATATTAGGACATAATTTTTATGCTGTTATAGCTGAATATTTGATAGAAAAGTTAAGAAATATGCGTTTATAAAAGATGACTTAATTACAAATTTTACGATATTATAATCATACATTTTTGTATAAGAATTATCTAACAGTATTTGCTGTAAATATAGATTTACTAAGCTACAGCCATTTAATAAGGCAACAATTAGCAAAAATAACAGTTTATTTTTAATTTAAAAATGTATCCTAACCGATCACCTAACTTATTAGTGTCTAACAGATCTTTCATTGTTTTAATTGACGAACACACAGAGATAATACATGAAATACACTGCAATAAAGTAGCCGATTTGTCTACTTTAAAGCAAATTATATCATGTAAGTTATTATAATGTTCCTACTTATTATATAACATCTCGTTTAAACGAAAAACCTTTGACTTTGTTTTTAGCGCCACTAACTATTGTTTGTGTTTATATAAAAACTCTACAAGCAATTTGCTACACGACAGAAATGTATACTTTTTATATAATATTCAAACACCTATTTCGTTATGTGAATTGTACTTAAATCTACGTACATATTTAATTTATCCACCGAAACATCGAAGTGGTGTTTAACGGCTCTTGTATAAATTATATATTCTAATAAAATGGTGGACGTTTTCATACAAACACTGTTAAATGATAGATGGATAACATTGGAAGTTCACAGATTAATAAACAAATATAAAGTATTTATAAAGAAGAAACATTTAGCAGACAATTAATAACTATATCGACAGAAAAAATACATGTTTTTGTGGTATTATAATGCCATAGATTTAAAATGATGAATGAATGTATCATACCTGTGGCAGTACTGTATTAAATAAATAAAATATAAAACACAATCTAAAGACTATTAGTTATCCTATTATCCTATTAATATTATAAATGTGAAAGTTTCTTTGTTTGGATGTTTAGATGTTTGGATGTTTGTACGTCAATCACGCCGAAACTACTGTACGGATTTTGATGAAATTAGGTATACAGATAGGGTGTTAGCTGACTTAGATAATAGGATACTTTTTATCCCACTAAACATTTCCCTAGGGTCCACGCGGGCGAAGCCGCTGGCGAAAGCTAGTATACTATAAAGCATGGCCGGCCCCACATGGCGCGTATTTCTTTGTTAATTATGTTAACCGCGTTCCAAGTGTCAAATGAAAAATAATACTTACCCGGCCGTGGCACCACGCGACGCGGGCTAAGTGTAATCGGCACTTTATAACCAATATTCCTTTAAACATGTTATTACATAGAACTCGTATGAAATTAAAAGAGTATGGTATTCGGTTACCTACTAATTTGTATGAATATGTGTTTGTATGAAAACTATGCAGTGACTCAATTACTATTTTGTCCACCAGTTTATTTTTACGGACGGAATATAAAAATAAATTACATCGCTTTTGTTAGTTATATAATTATTAATTATGCTAATATTGTTTTTACTGCATTGTGCTTTAACTTATATTTTTACATTAAAAAATAAATACACAATGGATTTACTTGTGATGTACACGACTGCACGTCAGACTTCCACAATATATAAAATTTCTAATTTTAAACTCTACAATCAAAGAATCAGGGTTTAAAATGAAGTGAAGTAATTTGACAAATTTGTATAGCCTGACGTGGCGTTGACTGTACAATTAATTATGTCACAATTATACAATTAATAGTAACCATTGAGTTTTTGATATGATTTCTATAAAATTGTATTTTTAATTCTTAACAATACAATACATTGAATTCAAGCAAAATCAAAACAAGCAAATCAAGTTGTACAAGGGTAAAACTTAAATTTGTAAAATTGCCACTTATTTCTTTTGTCAGCAGTCAGGATAGCCCAAAAGATACTTATTTTTTTCGAATAATATAATAAATCTTGCCACAAACAAAAAAAAAGAATAGATTCGAATACATCTTTAGAAACCGTTTTACAGACTTGTCGTAATTATTTGCATCATAAAAACTTGCATGTTTTTCTTATTTAAATTGCTTTGTAGTAAAGTCTCATTAGTAGATATGTACCTATGTTCTTTTTGACAAAATTGATGATAACGTATGTATTAGCTTATCTTTTAACAGCTTTACGTTTAAAATATAATGAAATGGGACACAACACACATCTTAAGATCAAAGTTGTAGAGAAACCATACACAATTTGTTAGATTTACGAATTTTAAATGTATGTATCAACAAACCTCTTCCTACTTGTTAGTTCTTTGTTAGTATTCCCAAAAATTGTATCGAACGAAGTATGCCGTATGAGCCTCATACTTTATATCAATATTTTCACTCACTTAACGCCAGTTTTCGATGATTTTGGCCTTTTCCTGTTCTTTACAAAATAATTTAGAATTTATAGAAGAATAACTTGGCCTGACGTAACGATAAAAGTGCAGTTAACTTTAATTAGATCATAGAATATCACCATGACTTCTAAAATGCAATGGCAGACATTGGTCTAAGCGCGATGGCGATATACATGCGTATCGTTATCTCTCTTTAAGAAAGACGTTTTCGTTTTAAAAAAGCTTATTCATAATCCTGTGCTCTTAATATAATAGCGAACAAAACAAAACACATATTGACAATGCAACCAAGAATCTTATTTCGTTTAGCTTGTTTTATATTTAAATAACACATCCTTATTTTAAACAAACAAACACTTCGAAACCCTGCATCGTCAAAATTAATCTTCAATTTAATAAATAATGAAGCGTCCTGACAATAGAATTTTTAAACGCAAAGGTATATCTCATTTGACGCGTACGGACCGCTGCTTGTTCATGTTGGTAAGCATAAGCGAGATGTAGGAGGTGAGTAGATCATCCATTTTATAGCCCAGGGAAGTCTCACAGAGGAGCTTCGAGCCCCTGACTAGGTTCCCGATGGTCATGTGGAAGTACGTGTTGCCAGAAGACCAGTTTGATATTCTGGTGAACGGATGCGTCACTAATATGTCCTATAAGAAGAGAAAAGGTCAGTTTTATAACGATTGTTTCAAACATAATTGGTTTCGATAAATATAAATAGATGTCACTGTTTTACTTTTGTAAATAAAAATTTTAGAGCACACACCTTTGTATAGATCTAGTGGAGATAAGTAATATCTTAAAAATATGTCGTAATTTAAGCCGATATTTTTATCAAATCATCAAAAAATTGAATGAAATAAAAAATGTTAATAGTTAGAATATTATTATTATGAACTATTAACAGTTCTTACTTGATTCAAATACTTGTTGATTTGGTAAAGATATCTGCTTAAGTTATGACATTTTCTCAGAGATTCAGTCGGTCAAGATCAAGATGATGTACACGCTATTGGCTTAAGTAGTTTTGGTTCAAGTGTATTAATGAGCTTACATTTAATTGAGTTTGAGACCACGATTACAATAGTTGTGATATAATATTAGTTTCATATAATATGAGTAGCTCGGTGGCGTAGTGGATAAGCACCGCGGTCCGCGATCGTAATCGTTAAGCATCTTTCGCAAGGGTCGGTCACGGGATGGGTGACCAAAAAATTATAATCTCGAGCTACTCCGTGCTTCGGAAGGCACGTTAAGCCGTTGGCGCCGGCTGCGTTTGCAGTCGTTAATACCCTCCAATCCGCATTGGGCCAGCGTGGAGGTCATGACCCATCCTCCTTAACCATCCATAAGGAAGGCCTGAGCCCCTGCAGTGGGGCCGTATAAGTGCTGGTGATGATTAGTTTCATATAACATCAAATTGCATCAAAATGAAAGCAGTCATTATAACCAACCTTTGTTTGTGGGTGGATCAAACTGACACCGTGTTTGTTGATAGCTATGAGCAGAAGTTCAGGGTAATTTGGCTCTGTGGTCTGCTTGACCTCGAAGAAGGCCGAACCGAAGGTGGGCCACCGGTATATGACCTTTAGGAATGTGATCTTGGCGTCTTCTGGCGTCATGCCTGCGTCCGTGTTGTAGGATGCCACTATAGCTCGTTTCCAGTCCGCTGAGCTCTGCAGCTTTACTAAATCAGCTGGTATCAATTCCCGAAGCATTTGTCTAGAAATCAATGAAATAAATCTTAAGTAAGGAAATAAACTTTTATGATTATTACGTAAACGGTTACAACAGTATGTCAAATTTTCACAATTGAATTTTAATTGAACTCTACCGCATAAGTATTAAGGTTTTAAATCAAGTAAAGAATATTAACAGGATTACGGGTATGATTGTTGAGTAAAATAAGATAAAAGATACAGTTAGGGAATTAATATATATAAATAAATAATATTAGACAATAGATTCATGTCTAAGTTATTAAGTGTGTTACTAACGTATTTTTGCTACTAACATAATTTTTTAATACGGCTATTACTAAACCTTTCAAATCCTGCATTTCATATTATTGCTCCAAAACAGACTTGTGTTGTGCTCTCAGATTAGTTTTGAGGCTACGACGTAATTATAGTTCCTTTCACGAAAGAAATTCCTAGGGTCACAGCTTTTATTACAAAAGTAATAAAAAAATACCAAGGGAACTATTACACTAGGGAACTATAAGGGAACTATAACTATTGTGAAACGAGTTATTATAAAAATAGGCTTAATTTTTTTTTAGCTGTCAATAACCGTCAGTCGTGTGAGTCTGCCATTGCGGAACACCTATTGGAAAGGGGCACAAATCACTGGATCGAGTTTTACCGTACGCGAATCCTTTCCACAGATCGCCACTTTTATTCAAGAGTAGTGCGAGAAGCGATTGAAATTAAGAAACACCCTAATAACTTCCATCGGGGAAGACGGATATAAATCCAGTATATCTATTGGATTCCACGCGTGTGAAACGCGACTAAAACGCAGCTTCTTTTTTCGCAATCGGTAAACCTCCAGAATACAGCTCATGTGCGGAATAGGGACACCGTTGTTGTTGTTTGTGACGGTAGTTGGATGAAAAGTCAGAGGGTGAAAGAAGATTCATCCTCAGATGCAGAGAAGCAGCAAATCTAGCTGCTCCAGTCTCGTTGTCGGCGCAGATCAGTGTAAAATCGCGTCTAATACCCGGTATTATAAGTATTTAATAATGCAGCGCGATAGTTTAAAACTGAATATATGATCTGTAATACCTGTACCTATGTAAGATAAGTTTAAATTTGCTTGAATTTTTGACTCGAAATCCGAAATTTATCACCCACTTATCACCACATGGTAATGAGGGTGCTTGGTATACGTTTTTTGAGGTTTATTTTACTTTCGGTCGTAAGCGCATTAAGAATTTAGTATAGAAACCGGCACCAGCAGTAACTTTCAAGGACTACAGTTTTTCATACAAAACCCTAACGCCAAACTTACACTCGGCACTCTGTATCTACATTAAAACAATTCTGTAATTCCTGGAACTTTTGGGCTCCAAACATATTTATCGACCGCGTATTGCCACGTTATGATCAGACATCGTGTGGGGGAAAATGTGGGGGGGCGCCCTACGAACTAATCTAAGCCCGTGGAAACCAAAAATTTAGAAGTGACTCACGGTATGGCTTGTAGTTCTTGCTTGTTATCTCCAAAGCGGGCGCGGTATGCCAGGGCTGCCAGTCGCGCGGCCTCTTCTCGTCCGCAGCGGTGGTAGCCGCGCAATAGTTTCGGCAGCTCTTGGTGAAAATGGAATATGACGTCTGCAGCACGGTCCTTGCCTGGCACCGTATTAGTCCACAGTTTCTTCATAAAAAACACCTAAAGAATTGACGTGAGTTTAAGAAAGTATTGAAAAATAAAAAATGGACTTGCGTGGAGAGGTTTCCGCGCTAATATTAAAAAAAGCAATTCTGTTAATTTTTCATTAAAATAAGAATTTATGTGTAAAAAATATACATAATATATGTTTAGAAATATCATGCTCATACATTACTTAAACTAGTAACTCGAATTTTTAATTCAATGCGTTAGATATAAGACTTTTTATTTCATAATTTCACTACAACTATTGTCTTGTAGATTTTTCATTGAACTTGTACTGTAAAGTGATTAACATGAATTATGATTTCCGAAAGTGTTGAAATTTGATGCGGCATCCTAAATGATCGTATCTTTTTTTTACGTGGATTTAGAAGTATTATTTTTTCATAGCTATAAGGGACTGTAAACCGGACTATATGGAGGAGTATGAGTTTAATTTAGACTTGATATCTCAATGCGTTCTCTAAATTTAGGGTTTTGATAGACAAACAAAAAAGCGATCCTATAAGGGTATCGTTTTTTATGAAATAATTTCGCCATGTCTGTCTGTCAGTCCGTCCGTCCGCGGATTAGCTCAAAAACTATTGATACAAGTAAGTTGTAATTTTACATGATTATACACGTTTATTACGCCGACAAAGTGATAAAGTAAAATATTAATAAATCTACATGTAAAGTGTGGATGATATTTTTTTCGTCTTCCCCATAACGTGAGGTATCGTTAGATAGGTCTTTCAAAAACATTGAGAAGGCCATCTTTCGATTTAGTATACCGTTTATGACTTATTAAGCTTCAAAGAGCAAATTTTGTTTTGAGTCAAGTGTGCCTCCCTCTACCAACTAACCAGTTGTTGGTAAAAAATCAAACGTTATTATAGCAGGAATTTCTACATTTAACGAAGATAAAAGAAAAACTATTACACTTAAGTTGGCTTTACAAGTAATAGTCGACCAATGCTATTTAACTCAAGAATTTCGAACAACTCCATAGAAAACTATTTTTAATGTATAATGGTACGGAACACTTCGTACGCGAGTGCAACTCGCACTTTGCTGGTTTTTTATTCCTTTAAGGCACTTGTTAAATTTAAAAATTAAAATGTATTATGTTCAATCACCATATAAATTACATTTTCAAGTATTTTTTGTTAGATAATAGAATTTCAGCATTGTGAACATGAAATTCATCAAAAACAATGAAGGTATTTTAAAAATAAATAAAATAATAGCTATTTTAGGCGATAAGATTAAAATCTCATTATCAAAATTTAAGATCATCGCGATAATTTGTAGATATGTATATTAAAATATAAACCTTCAGCAGGTAATTTGTTATTTACCTGATAAGTGAACTGCGGTGTGATCCCATCGCGAGTCGGTCGCGCCTTTTTAATCCAGTCCGTCAGATGTCTCACGAAATCGAAAAAGAAATCTCCCTCGGGCACTGAAATAACCTTATCAGCTATCTTAACAAACAAACTAAAACCTTCACTAGATCTGAGATTCAGTCTCTGTGCGATATTTTGACAAAAGTCTTTGGCTCTCGTAGATGAATCCACTTCGAAAGCTTCATCGGTGTCATCGGGGAAGTACACTTTGTGGAATATTTGTGTAGTCTTATGTTGAATTGCTTCCACTTCTACTTGATGTGGTGGATATTTCCTTTGGCCATTTCTCAGAGTTTTCTGAAGTCTTTGGAGTGAATCTTGGGCGATCGGATAGCGTCTAGTTCGAAGAAACAATGTCAATTCTCTGAGCAATCCTTGACTACATGCAAACAAACCAGTCGCTAACCACATCAGTTCCCAACCTCTTTCTTCAGACATTCTATTTCTATTATCAGTGAGTTGCTTCATTATTTGGCAGTAAATTTCATCTCGGAGTATTTCGTGTTTCAATGGGCCGTCAAAAATATGATCTGTATACTCATTACCAATACGTGGTCGTTTGGATGGCAAATCACCCATGTATTTTAATATGGCAGTAAATGCAAAACATGCTTCTTCTGCTAACTCCTCCTTGGCTTGTAATTTTTTAAGAAGAGGAAGCTTGATCGGGTCCCTAGCATGTCTCCACAATTCATCAGCACCACCTCTTTTGGCTGTAGATAATGTGAGCGTCTTTGATACTGTTCGTTTTGGTGGTAATCTAAAATGATCTAAGGCGTACTCTAATAAAGTATGAGGCTTGTCTCTCGTATCGGTGCCATTTATTGTTCCAGTAGGTATTCTTCGACCATGTTGTGCCCCCTCTTGACAGAATAATGTCAAAATATCCGGTGGAGGTTTTGTTAAAGCGGGTAAAACATAAACTGTTTCAGCGGGAAAATCGCCTCTCTCCATGGTACGTTCACAACGCCCAATACACCAACCATTATTTAAAACTGATTCTCCTGTGTTATCTTCTTCTAAAATAATAAGATCTCCTTTTTGGAAAGTTAGGAAACTTGACCCTTCACCTGGAGCTTTATAGTCTTGTAAAGCTATAACAAACTTCGACCGTTTCTTTAATCCTTCTAAAAAGTAAACTACCAGATCTCGAATATCTTCTGCATTCGGACTTTGGAATGTAAATTCTTCCCCGCGTACTGTGGATAGACTAAATGTTTGAGTAAATACCTTGTTTGTTTTCTGGCTTGACACTGTTGTAATTTCTGGGAATGACAATTCTAATAACACTTGCTCTTGGTCATCTACAACGTAAACACCGGTCCAATTCACCGCTATAATAACGTCATTCTTCGGTAAATTAGGACCTGAATTTCTATAGGCTTCGTAAAATCTAGAGAACAACAACGGCCATTTAAATTTGGCATAGCTAACGACGTCCTCTTTTACTCTGTATACAGGTATTTTTTCCTTGACGTAATAACTTTTTTTATAAGCTTGCACAACCAATGCTCCCCACCTGTCTACTGCTTTTTCTACACCTGTCAAACAATAATCTGGTATGTAATTCGGTAATAAGGTGTATAGCCTTTCATTATTCATGTCTTGAGCATATTCAATATAATATTGCTGAGCTGCAATCATGGCCAAATCCTCTTCTTTGTCACATCTGTATTCACCAAACTTAACTCCTCTTACTACCTGTTGGTATATAAGATTGGTTGCGACTTGATCCTCTGTAGGGTCATGCCATGGAGCAAATATTTCTTTCCTAAAGAATAATCTCCATGGAGCATTTCTTTCTTGGGCTCCTTGTTCTTTTGCATATTGTTCACATTGAGATATTGCATCCATTACGTGGTCCCCTCCACTCCCAAGTGAGCTAACTTTGTCGAACAAAGCAATATACAATGAGAATCCAAATTGATCACGTAAACCGATTTTATCAGATAACTGATTGCAAAGTTCTCTCGCAGTAGTTGCTGAATCAGCTAATAAAGTTTTTGTATTCCCGTCCATAAACGTAATTGGTAACATTATTGGTTTCTTTGATTTTGTAGCTTGAAGTTCTAACCAAGAAGGTGGTTGATTTCTGGTACCATTATTGAAAGTTCTTTTTAGTCTATCCTCACAATATGGAGCATATCCAGGAGGACCCTCCCTAATAAATGCCCTCAAATAGTTCACGAACTTTTCACTAGGAGCAAAACAACCTACACATAAGGATAAGAGAATCCACCCTCTGGCATGTGACGATTTTGATGGATTGTTCGTTAATTGTTTGCATATTTGGCAATATATCTCGTCCCTCAATTCAGCACGAAGAATACCGTGGCCAATTATAAAATGTAGTTTTTCTAAATTTGAAGTTGGGCGAGATTCTAGCCATGATTGGTAACTATCAGCTGTATATTCTTCATCCTGTAATAAAACAAGGTGAATTAATATCTACAATATTTTACTTTTTACTATAAATAAACCTTTAATATTTTAAAACATTAATACTAAACCTGTAATTTGCGTCTAACGTCTTCTCCGAGTTTGTTTTTCCTCTTCAATGTCAACGAAACTAATTTGTGCCGGATTGATCTAGGTTTCTGTTTGTTCAAGTAAGCATCTGGATCGACTCCCATCATTTGAGCTTCTTGGAACTCTTTGGACCTAATGAAATTTCTTCCGAGCGTAGCGGTAACTTTTGACATTACAGATGTGTTATCTCTGTCCATTGTATGGTATCTTGGTTCTGGCAGGTCCCCAGTAAAGCGTAAAATGGTTATCCATAGTGCTTGCGCAGCCTAGAAATAAAAGAACAAAAGCTGATACTCTTATAGATGATATAATATAGATTAAATTTATGTTATATATCTAATTTTTCACAATCAAACATTTGCTATTTATTGTATATCTGACATAGCAATGATATCAAGATCAAGACCAAAAAAGATTGCATAAATCAATGCTGTTAACGATATAAAATATAAGATTATCACTTTGATAATGATAAAGCTTTTCAAATATTTAATGAAAACAATCTAGAATTTCTCTACTGTGCAATTAATAATACAACATAATAGAGACCGAGAACAAAAGATAATCGACTCACCAATTGGTCGCCTTGTGTATGAAGAGGTAAAAGGGGATGTTTCAAAGGTTTCCTGGAGTATTGATGAGTGACGTTCCCTTGGAAATACGTCGCGGCAAACTTTTGGAATTTATATTCGGAGAGATCTTCTTCGTCTTCCGATGTAGTCTGCATTGGTGTTACCATCTGTAATAACAAAAATTCGAATTATACCCTTTGTCACTCGTGTATGATACAGCAGATGATACAGCAGATAAAAGAACGTTTAAAATCGCTCAGTAGTTTCGGAGCCTATTTGAAATCTTTCACCTTATAATATTAGCATAGATAAATATATTGTTGTCTCGCATTTTTTGTTGTAAATTTTGTCAATTAACAGAAGCTGAATATGATTAGATACACATGCTTTGTGAATAAATAAGTTTAGAATTTTTTTACCTCTTGCTGATCAGCTCTCTGCTGTGGCAGATCGCTGAACACAGATGTGTCTTTAGGTGCCGGAGCTTCACTGCTGGAGTCCGGCAGGAAATCAAACATGGCTTCCACCAGCTTGCTGTCATCTACCGGCTCGTCCTGCTTGCGAGCCGCTTCTTGTAACAGGGTCCTCTTCGCTTCTAGCTGACGCTTCTCTTCCAAAGCCAACTCAGCTTCGCGCCTTTCTAATTCATACATGCGCTCCTATTCAACAATTAAAAAAAAAGTAAAAAACAGTGAACGTTACAAATAACCTTATTAGCGAATTAAATTCTTCGTTTAATTGTAATGAACAAGAATTTGTGCAACAATGATATGCGTGTGCATTTAGATCACCTCAATAACGTAATTTGTAATATTGTACATAGTACGCCGAAACACTCAAACACTTTTATTTGCACTGTACACTGTTACACTTAGTATGATATTATATTTATTTATCTTTAATTTTTATTTAATACTAGTACCTATCTAAATCTTTTACGGAGTGGTATTACTCGATTGAGCTGCTAAAGTTAGCCGAGCATGGGCAAGTTACACAAGCAGTATATGCTTGATTGAATAATAGCCGGTATAACATGTTACCTCGCCAGTTTCTATTTAAGTTGTGGATTATTTAAAAAATTCAATACATTGTTTTTAATAGCAGAAGTTGAAGCACATACACATCTCACTTTAAATAATTATTTTAAAATTCAGTGCCTGATTGTTATTGTCAGTTGGCTCAACTATGCATATTACATTTTTTAATAAACCACGAAATCAATTAACCATTTTTGGATCATTATGAAATAATAATTTAGTTTTTATTGACGACGTTCATCGAGACTTTGCTTGATTCGAAAAAAAAGACGTGAATTTAATTATGTACTAATTGTTTTTATGATTTGCTATTAATTAATATCGATCGAATAATTAAAAGATAGTTTTCATTAATTCCTACCTGTAGTATAAAATCAATTGGCGCTTCATATCTTTGAAATAAAATTCAATCACTAAACACACAACTGACGTCGTTTGAACGTAAACTATATCTAAATTAATTTGTACTTACTTTTAGTCTTGCATATGATTATCTTTTCAGATAATTTAAATAAGGAACTCCGTGTCATTATACAATCAGATGGGCAATATGTGTTTCATTGACGTTTTTTGTGTTCATATATTTTTATCAATAGATTAGAATTAATAATTTTGGAATGTCGAGAAATTAAAAAGTATTTATATTGACTGCGTAGTTTTTTAGTCTTATTTTTATTGGCTTTTAAACTTAGTGTTCATGCCAGACCAATCTCAACCAAATAACTAATATAAGATCTATATCTATGGAAACATAACTTTGTATACCATGTTGAATAACATTCTAGCTTCATCCGACAATGGATATGCTAGGATACTTTGAAAAACACGTAGGTCATTTTTATTGTACTTATGATTAAAAAGTAAATTATTCTCTGCTTCATTCTTAATTCAGCTAGCAAATGTTGGACATCTTCTACCTTTTGACAGATTCCACAATAAGGAGAATTCGTTTTTTGAAATATAAAAAGTTATTTAGCGGAATGTGTCCTGATCGCAGTCACAATTAACGAACCAGGGTATATGAGGAGGCTCACATATAATAGTTCTGTACCAAATACCTATTGTTTTGGACCTTTCGTCAAAGTATTCCGTCCAAATCAGACTCATATTTTTGAATTTACTTAAAACCTCAGAATATACAGGTAGGATAAAAATTGGAGATCCGTCAGAGATAGCAGATTATGCCAAATGATCCGCCTTCTCATTACCTACTAACCCAATATGTGACGGGATCCATTGTATTTTTATTAAAATGTTGAGTTCCTTTAATTGGTTGATTTTATTTAAAAAACTAACTGCAATAGGAGCTGATCTTTGACCCTAAGCACATCGATTAATACATATGTACTTTCACACTGTCACATAAAATAGACACTTTTTTGTATCCTATTTTTTAATAAATGTTAGGGTTTCTGAAATGGCAAATAACTCTGCAATCATTATAGATACTTTTGATACTATTTTATGTATCACATTTTTCACAATCACATTTTTTATTTCTATTTTGGTAGGCCATATATTCAATGTAAATATTTCTAATGGTTTAGAACAGTATAATTTTTCTTCTTTTGTATCTAAAAATGATGTCATCAATAAAGGTTTCTTTTTATTAGTCCTATACCTATGGTTACAAGAAGAACCGAGTTCTTCTATTAATTTTATCGTTACATTATATGCTAAAACTCTGCTTTTAATACAAAACTTTACTGATAAATATTGTCTTCTAATATGTAAGGGAGGTATACAACGTTGCGTTCAGCTACTCGGTTGATCGAAAGTCAGCCCGTTAATTGAATGGTGCTATCCAAATAAAAGCCCTAATATACCACTTGACTACGACATATAGATTAGATGCCTACTCCGTATACTAAATAAAATATAAAACAAAGATAATACCAACAATATTTAGTTAAAAATAAGTTAAATTCGTACCATATTTTGTGTAACACGGTACCTTTTAAAGCTTTAGTGGACGATAAGCTATAGAAGATAATTAGAAAAATAAGGCAATGAATTGATAAGAACAAAATAAATTGTTGGACTGCGATTCCGAAGTCGTCGTTCATTATCTGATTGAAACGTATGATAACATAATTAAACAATTAGTGACAATATATATTAGAAAACGTATTAATTTTCCTATTTAATTTTAAACGATACTTTCTTTGTAACTTTATAAAACGACGCCCAAAAATCTCCTAGCTAGACTTATAAGTCTTTCAAGTCGATTTATAATTATACATATAATTATATATTTTATTTTTCTAATCTAACAACAACCTATGCGATAGTTTATAATCTAACAAGACAGATTTTAAGTATTTTTCTTGTTGTGTTGACAGTATTTGCGATTTAAGTGTAAACACCGTACATTTGTTTCGTCACTAACCCGATAGTTCTGCTCGGCTATCTCCTTGGCGCGCGTGTTGCCCTGGTGCTGCAGCCGCTGCTCCTCCTGGCGGCGCAGGCGCAGCGCCTCGTTGTGCGCGAGCGTCTCCTGGCGCAGGCGGCGGTAGCGGCGAGTCGCTATCAGCCGCCGCACGTGGCTCTGTATCTTCACGATCGCCCACATCTTGTGCCCGTACGAGCGGCGCACGAGGTAACCGCGAGCTGCTGCCTGCACGAGTAATCGTTTGATTATATATCATTCTAGTAATTGTATATATATATACATAAAGAGCTGTCTATAAATGAATACCGAATATCTTTGAAGAGAGGCTTTTCTCGTATAAAAATTAACTTACATAATAGAGTAGTGGTAGGATTTATAAGTATGAAATACGTCTCTTCATTTCCTTCATTATTTATTTTGGTTATAGAACCCATTTAATGAATAAAATTTTCAATTGTATATTAAATATTATCTACATTCTTTATATATTTCCAGTAAAAGAGTGTTTAATGGGAGGGTAAAACATTTTGCTTTGAAATAAATTTCGAAATAAAATACATGTTCACTTACTTGCAATGAGACTATATGACCTCGCAAATGTCTGAAACGATGCGCCAAAACTCTTGCTCGAATGAGAGCTTGCAGACGTGCGTATCCCACTTTCATTTTATTGTAACGAATCCTCTGCAATTTTCCACGCCAGTGACGCTGAATGAGGACAGCGGCGGCTCTCATCTTCAAGAATCTTCTGCGGTAAACCCAACCTCTAATAGATCTTTGGAGTATCAATATCTTTCTAGTGAGTACTCTATCTCTTTCTTGCTCAAGGAACAAATCGTGCGCATCCTTGAGAAACACTTTGGTATGACCCAACTGGTAATCTGATTTACCTAAAACGGTAGCACAAATTTTGGCTGTTGCGGCTCTACAATCGGTCTTATGTGCTGGCGGAACACCAGATATCAAAAATCTATACCTTTCTACAAATTCTTTGAAACTATGGCGTATGGGGTAGCCAGCTCTTCTGATACGAATAGTCTCCATCATGCCGGAATATCTTAGCTGTCGACAACACAGCCCTCTATCAAACATCATAGGTTTTTTGAACTCATTTGGCTTGATACATCGTATAAAGAATGGTTGACAAGTCCCTAAAGTTCTCATCAATAAGTCCAACGACTTTTTGAACTGCGTTGATAGCGTAGGCGTTCGTTTTCGTGTTTCTGACCCCATAGTGATGTCGTCTTGGAAAATTTGTTGTAGGAACTTGTTTGTAGAAATATGTATTAACTGTAACAAATCAGCACTAAACGTGTCACGATTTTTCTCAAGAAAACCTCTAGTATCGTAGAATACAATACCAGCAAAATGATTTAAGCCGAAGCTGGTGTTGATGTCAGATTTTGGTTTGAGGTAGTTTCTATGAAGTCCATGGGTCTTGTGCAACTTTGCTAACATAGTTTGGTCAGTGCCCTTAGGAAACTTTGATTCTTCATCGATTAAAGCCATGATATTAAGCTGCTTCAGCGCAATCAAATCCAACGCATCTTGGTTATCAACAAACTCTATATGTTGCCAGTTGATACCTTCGTGGTTGTATTCTTCTTGTTCTAATTTGAAAATGTGTCTAACAAAAAATTGTTGTAAGTTTTCATTTGCAAAGTTTATACAGAACTGCTCAAAACTGTTATGGTCGAAATTTTCAAAACCGAAGATGTCTAGAACACCTATCGCTGTGCGCATTGTCGACTTTGGTTTGTAAATAGCGGCATTTATTTTTTTTACTATAGTCACAAACAATCTACCGTAGATGCCTTTGACAAAAGCATCTCGGATATCAACGGACTGTTCTCTACTGAGAGTAGACACAACAGTCTCTCCATGAGCAAATAAAGTTTTTCTTGTCAAAGCTCCAATCATTGTTTGTGTCGGTACTCCTAACAAATGAGCGACTCTCCTAACGTTGGCTTGCTCTACGATTTCAGTCGCGTCTAAGTTATCTACAACGGTGGCTTCGTATTTGATGTTTCCACAGTGTAAAACTGCAGCTAGTAATTTTAGAATATCCCATATTTCTGATTCAGTAAATAATAGAACTTTCATCGCTGATCTGATATCAGCGAATTCTGCAGCATCGTCCCTACCCTCACAAGAAAAGTTGCCTCCCTGAAACATTATAACACCAACATGAATTATTTGCTTACCTATAAATTGAAGATAATAATATTATACAAAATTTGTACAAAATTGTACAAAAGATTGATTGATGTTTATAAGACCTTCATTATTAAGATTATATTTGATATAACGTTATTTTGTCATTATATTATCTTATACATAACATTATCATGGTTTATCAAGACATTTATTGTATCCTAGTGCAAGTAACCGCTTTTTATCTGTTTTGTTGTTAGTCAACTTATTTAATAAGTATGAATAATTACCGCGGATAAATATCTGTATTCTGATGGATCTCCTAATTCGAGTTTCTTCTTTTCCTCTTTGGATAGTCCGGCGAGCAAGCAATAAAATACATGGTAGTTTCTTTCTTCAGGACCCTGAGACACGATGCGTGATTTTTCCAATAAATATTGTTCTATTTTAGCACCTTCAATGACGCCATTTGCGTTGAAATGTATGTCGATATATTTTCCAAACCGTGACGAGTTGTCGTTTCTCACTGTCTTAGCATTTCCAAACGCTTCTAAGATCGGATTAGCTTCTAGAATCTGGAAAATAACAAAATAGTCTAGATTAATTACGAGTTTTTGTTTAATGAATAAAATCTGTTATTTTATTTGCATTTATTTAAGCCTTTGCAACGTAAACAGCGACACATAAACGACAGAAGACAAGACTTATCACTTATTTACCTTGTTGTCCGTCCGTTTGTTTTAGTGGCCTCCCTCGACTTCTGGAATCTTCCACTTTCGTTATTGGGAATTTTACCTAACTTATCTGATTCAGGATATATGAAAAAAGATATTATTTTTTGTCTCTACTAAATAATAAAACTATGTACCTGTTGTTCTATCCAGGAATGCTTCCCGCTAATAGCAGCGAGATACTGAAGAATTAGTTTGGTGGACTCTGTTTTGCCGGCGCCTGATTCACCACTAATGACGATGCACTGGTCTTGCCCATACCGACGCATATGCGCATACGCATTGTCGCCGATTGCGAAAATATGAGGTGGCAATTCACCGATTTTTCTTTCTTTATACAGCTTTATTTGGTCTGCAGTGTAGATTGGCAGTATCTGGTATGGGTTAACTGCCACTAATATTGAGCCCGTGTAGGTCTGAAAAAAGGATTTGAAATTTTCAATAAATTTTAGCATATTTAAATTTCTCAACGAATTAAATTTTGAATAACAGATATGAGTAAATTTTAAAACAATTTAAATATTTTCATAAATAAAATAATAAGACCATTAAATAGTTAAAAAATGAGAAAATATAACATTTAGTAATCCAGATACCTGTGATACGAAATAATTATATTGTTTCAATAATTTCATCATGATTAAGAAACAACATTATTGGCCATCATGACGTCATAAACAATTAGAATATATATAGAACATGAAATTTGGCAATAATAATAATTTATTTGCGTTTAAAAAGGTTATATAAAAGAGATGTAAAAAAGTAATACAAATATCGCCTATTCAGCCATTAACAATAGCATGCAAATGTAGAAAAAGAAACCACTATAAACACTGATCAATCCACCGCAAGCTAACGTTCATTTTCCATAGTCTAAGAATTCATACACATAATAAAACGAACGCTCTGCAAGCCAGTTATATAAATCTTTCTTAAATCTAGTAAGAGGTGTATTCTTTATAGATTCCGGAATCTTGTTAAATATTGTTTGACACATACAGTAGCAGTTATTTTTAAATCGCGCGCTTTTTAGGACTATGTCAGGAACGAGCCTATTTTTATTTCTAGTGTTCCTGGGATACACTTTATGGATACACTTCTGGGATACATTCTATTTTGTAATAATCAGGGTATCGTTTGGCAAAATTTCGCTGCTTCAAATATATATAAGCAAGGTAGAGGTAGAATACCGAGAAATTTAAATCATTGCTTACATAAGACACCGGGAGCGATGCCACATATGGATCTTATGCATTTTTTTCTGGGCAATTGTACAAAATACCCTTTGCACATCTGTACCGTTTCCCCAAATAATAATTGGATAACGTAAAATTAACATAAGCGAAGTATGCTGTGAGAGACGTACTTCTTGTCGCTATTCTCGATAATTTAAACAATGCAAAGTAGAATATTATTATCTTTATTATTAATCTTATTTCTGCATGTTGTTTCCAATCTAGTTTCTTGTCAATAGTTATGCCTAAGAATCTAACGTTATCTGCTTTTTCAAGCGTGCAAAAATACTTCTATGTTAGGTCATTTGGTAGGTCGTTAATATACACCAAAAATAAAAGCGGTCCAATTACATTGCCTTGTGGAACTCCAGTGTTTTTACTTTTAATTCTAACTGATACTTTCGTGTTACGCCATTTAGTCCTTTCAATACATTACATTCTATTTTGTAAATACGTTTTGAGCCAATTTAAAGCTGTACCTCTGATACCATTGTATTTTTTTTTTAAATAGTTGTTCATGAGAAACGAAATCGAATGCCTTTGACATATCAAAGAAAAGAGCTGTTGTATATTTGCTTTTGTTAATGCTCTGTAATGCTTTGTAAATAGTTAAATATTTCATATTGATCATAGAAATTGATATTTGATTGAACACAAAGGGAAGTTAAGAGTCGTTATGTTGTAGCTCAAGCAGTAGAGGTAATATTGAAAGTTATGATAACATAAAAGGTACTAATTTCTTTTATCCTCGTCTAATATTTTTTAACGTTCATTTGTAATTTTAAATTTAATATTTGTTTCACCAGCCTAAAGTAGCATCAAAATCGCATAGCCAAATAAAATATGCCAAAATCTAGTCTGTGCCACGGGTAAATACGGCTGTACCTGAAATGCAATGCAGTTTTTGAATTGGTTTATGGGATTACATGAACAGAATACAATGTCGATGCCTAATAACACCATTAAAGATCAAATCTATGTTAAGAACAGATTCCCAAACTTCCTTCCCCTACCTTTGCTACCAGTATAATAACTAAGATAAGTGAGTAACCCTGCTAGCGCTACATATAAGATACATTAGTAGCTACACTCACATAGATGAGATTCTCATTGTATCTGATAAGGAGGTTCCTCAAGATTCCGGCCTCGTGTAAGTCGCCCAGTGAGATCATGTCCTCTACGCCGTGCACGGAGGTGGCGTGCATGGCCTTGATCCGTCGCTCGGGCGGCAGCCATTGCTCTTGGCCGTCGTCGTCCCGGACCCTGATGCGGCGCCCCTCGGCCGCGAGCACCCGGGCACCTATCGCCACGTCGAACTCGCGGCCTGATACCGGCTCGATCCATATGTAATCGCCCTGAAAATTAAACAATTTGATTATTATATATTAATTGTGCATTCACAGTGCTCTACGCGGTTAGTTTAGTAGTTCGCTGACGCCGCGGCCAACGATCGTAGTTTCTAAGCAACTAAGAGCCGTTCATGGGATGGGTGACCAAAAAAATAGTATGTATTCAGTTTTGTTAAGCTGTTGATTCCAACTGCATTTGTAGTCGTTAATACCCTTCAGTCCGCATTAGGCCAACGTGAACGTAAAATGGCTGATGGCGATCATAGTGCTTTACTCATGTTTATCTTATAGAAAATACTGAAATGTCCTACTTTATCAAATGCCCAAGATAGGAATGGATTCTGTAACCTTTCTCTAACCTGGACAATACTAGCAATTAAGGTAGTATCTATAGGCGAGTAGAAGTTATTACCTACTTGATTAATAAAAATATTTGCATAAGTTACTACCTTATGCAAATATTGTTAATAATTAAACAAGGATTTTAATGAAGTAAGAATTCTCAAAACTTAGCATACTATAATTATTTACTACCAATAGTACAATTCCCTTCATTCAAATTTGACGAGAATTTGAATTATTGGTTTTGTTTAAAATCAGACTCGACCACAAAGGGCTACGGGTACATACTGCTGTGCCGGAAACGAGCAGAAATTTTTATTTCTTCTAGCTTTTAGTATTTGCTGTTAAAGCGGAAAAAGAAATACATCATCTGTGAAAATTTCAACTATCACGGTTCATGAGGTACGTCCTGGTGACAGACAGAAAAGTCTTAGTAATAGGGTTCTCGTTTTACCTTTTGGGTACTACCGAAAATTGTTATTGAAAAGTTGCACTTAGTTACCTACATTTTTTTATTTAAAGTTTTAAACCAACGTTAAACAGCTGGTAAATTATTAATTATTTAAATATTAAAAACACTTATTCCTACTCGTGCTCTGTGGAAGATTACATCCATATTAGAACTTCGTGAGCACATAATTAACTTACAAGTGACTGTTGATTTATTGTCGTATGATTCTCATTTAATATCGTCACGCGAACGTCTGTGGTCAACGTATATAAGCAGACAGACACTGCGATTACAACCGGAACTGATAGAAAACAATTCTGATTATTCAATAGAAAGCGGTCCTTGTTTGTATAGCCAAATGTTCGATGACAATTCTATTCACTATCGATTTCAAAGCACATTTAATGCTGACCACGTTGAAGTGAAACTTACACTAAATTCTTTAAAAATAGCACACAGTTCACCTTTTGTACCTATAAACAATCGTATACTTAAACTTCTGAAAGTTAAAAGTATTATTAAATCGCTTATAATTTTACTCTAGCGGTAAATATCATAATAAAAAACATAATAACGGCATGTTAGAACAATTCCAAACAATCAACGTACCTCAAAAACCAGGGCACTTTCCATTGCAACTCATAAAGTGAACCATTATAAACGAACTCATCTGAACTACGAATGTCAATACTGAATCGATGCGTGATAAAGTTATCATTAATATTGACCGTGTGGCTGAGGTCGTATATTGAATGAAACAACATCATAACAGCCGAAAGTAGAATTAAACAATCACTCAAATGAATTAAGATAGAGGTACATAAAAATTTACGTATTAGACCATTGTTTTTATATAATAAATACGAATACACGATAGGACTTTCAGGCTGAACTATTCTATTCCCTTGGGCTATATATAGAAAACAAAAATGAATTAATTAAAAGGCTAAATTTATAATTTTGTTAATGCAACTATTATTCATTCATTAATATTTCAAAATAGCAACAGTATTTCATATTTTATTGAAAAACTAAACGAAAACCGGGAGAAATAAAAACGAGCCTCGCCCGTTTGGTCCCTAAGTATCTTTTTATTTGAATATCGATTCATATCATGACACGGATATAATTCCAATGACAAATTGAACAATAAACTACGGTAACGTTGTAATTCCCTTTACAAATTTCCACTCCCATTTTCATCCCTTTATTTGCTGTTTTATGAGATAAAATACAAACAATTAAATCTTTCCTTTTTATAATGTTAGTATAGATAAATAAGTCTACCCTTCTTATAAAAATGGAATATTTATTTACCAACGAGTAAGACTCCACGACCCCTTTAAGGGTCCCGATAGAAATATACTGTATTGGACAACATCAAATAGATGCAATACTCAGATCCTAATGTTGTAGCTTCTAGCACTTGCGTTATGAGAATCCGACGCCCCAGTTAGAGTTTCTCTGACGTTTACGTTTACTTTCAAAGTGTTGTGTTTTATGTGTATCAGTACATTGTAGTCCACAGAGTACTTATATATGTAGTCATCCGTAGAGTTCGTGATAGTTACAATTTTTTCAACGTCTCAAACATAGAAAACTATATCAAACACGTCTCGTAACTTGTTCTACAAATTACTTTCAAATAAAAAATAACATTCTTTTTCAAATATTACTAAAATAGAAGTTTAAGATTATGAGTTGCTAGAAGCCATTAAAACTAATAATATGCAAAATACAAACCACGATTTAAATAAATCCAAAATTTTACTCGGTCTGCATTTTACGCGTGGGCTAGTTATAACGACATTTAATACATAGATATTTGAGACTTATTTGTAGAAGAAGTTTCTAAGTTTTTTTTTATGTTTTAGCTAAATTTATATCCGCGTAGATTATCTGCACACCATAAATAGCCAATGCCAGTTCCCACCCAATTGTATTATGAACTAAACTGTCGAAAATGCGTTTTAATAGAGTTGTATTCGCGTTTCGAAATTTAGTTTTCGAAGAAACAGAATAGGCCTCCTAGGCTTCCAAAGACCACTTAAATCTCTAGCCGTGATTCTATCTGTTAGTTCGTTACATTTTACTACTTTGACTTGTAATTAATTAACGACGAACGAACGACAAAGAATGATGACGGCAGTCTTATCAATTTAGTAATTTATCTCAATTTTATCCACCAAAAGACATGTTAAAGTACCAACATGAAACAAAATTTAAAATATGTACGATAACCCTTTTTCAAAGACAATGAATTCAATAAAAAATAAAACATTAACTATCAATGTTTTATCTGTAAAAGATTCAATGATCTTTAAGTAAACTTTTCTTTATATAACACATGGAAATTTGTAAAACTTGTATGTGTTATGGGTTGAGCAAGTGAAGGTCTATGTTCGCATAATCAGCTTGCAGAAGTCTTACAAATGTTGGTAGATATTGTATCGCGTATCACTGAGTTTAGTTTTCTTCTGTCATTTTTATAAACTTATGATTGTCATCATTAATATGTCATTTTCATGTTTGTTAACGCTTACAAATTGAATCTCAAAGAAAATACTGGTGTTCATTACAGTTAAGTATGATGTGATAATAATAATAAACTTCATTGCATAACAAAAAGAAAAGATAAAAGAAACATACAAAGATTGCAAAGCAAATGGTATCGTTATCGCTTAAAAACGATCTCTTCTAGGCAACCGCTTACGGAAATTAGATATAGAGAACTCAGGGCACTGTATTTGAGCAAAAGTATATTTTATACATACAATATAATAAGTATGATAGTTGTAATAAAAAGCAAAAATAAAACGAGACGAAATCGTGAGGCAAATAATTGAGACACAAATGACAGCGTATTGTATACTGAATTAATAAGACAATAAAAATATTTTTTACTTGCAAACTGGGATGGTTGTAATTTTTTTTTATCAAAATTATTATTTATCAAATTGCCATTATTACAAAATACTCATTTATTATCAAATTCCACTATACAAAAGTATACTAACAAGAAAATATTTAATATTACTTAACTAATTTTGAACCAAATTATAAATACTTTTTTGGAGCAAACAAATGAGATTTTTTTTAGCCTCTTCTCTCAGAAATATGATGTCTCATAGTTCTCCAAACCCCATTCAGTTAATCATAAGAACAAATTAAACTATTCAACATTTTAATAATAATATATTGTAACATTAAATACATAATTATATTACGTCTTAGCAATATGTTTCTTAGAATCGAGCTCTATCTGAAAGTTGCATTCGTTTCTCTTGATCCTGGTTCGACTCCTACGCAAGTTGCAGTTACAGTCGCCGTCACCGTTGCGTCGCACGCTAAGTATACTCTCGCTCTCGTTATGGCATTGGACAACTTTGCGGTCACCTACATCCTACACACCCATTGTGGCGTCTAGTTCCCATATAGATACTGTTATCATATATTCGATTCAGTTTCTAGAAAAATATGAGTCTCGGTTGGACCATAATTGTAGTTAATGTTAAGGTTTATGTCAAATTTGACAATATCTGTCACGCTGACTTTTGCACCCAACGTTTCTTGGCATTGTTATTTTAGCTAGCGAAGATTGGGTGAAATTAACAATTAAAGTTATAACATCAACCAACCATTGCCAAATGATAACTTATTATTATTTGCTTAACCAGTACTTTAACAGTGTTTATTATTATTAAAGTAAGTTAGTACAACTAGCCTTTATTCTTTACTCAAAACTTCGAAATGTTTTGTTAATTGGTAATTTACAATTACATTGACTTCATGCCACAATCGCTGAGAGTAAGATTGGCTAGGCATAAAGACAAAAGACTGTCCTTGGTTTATACATTGCCTGGCAATGACATATATAGGGAAGGGGATGACATATTGAGCCTAAAGCGATAATTGCGCGTTAAGTTATGCTTATATAATTACTCTGAAACCATTACGATTATGGGTAAATATTGCATATAGCCCTCAAATACAAAGTGTTTGATATACCTATTTATATTTTTTCCCAATAAAAAGAGTGTGATTATGAAAAAAAAATTGAAATCGATTTATGCGCCTTCTTAAACTAAAAAGAAACTATAATTCTGTAGTTCATCTGTTTAGGAACTAGGAACAAGAATTTATGCCAAGATTCTCTAAATATTTTTTTTAGTATATTATAATCGATTAATAGCTTTATGATGAATAAGTTTTATCAAAAATATATTATTCACATGCAAAATACTCTGATTTTAGAAATAAACTTTCTAATACGAGGGTCAAACTGAAAGTTCTTAGAAAATCAAAAACTGATTACATTAGCCAGTTATTAGTTTTATTATATCTTTTCAAAATATTGTCCATTCACGTCAATACACCGCTGCATGCGATGGAACCACTGGGAAAAGCACTTTGCCCACTCGTCCTTAGGGGTCTCTTCAATGGCATCGCGATACGCAGCCACCGCTTCTTCAGCATTCATAAACCGCTTTCCTTTAAGTTTTTCTTTAATTTTTGGAAATAAATAAAAATCACAAGGCGCGAGGTCGGGGCTATACGGCGGGTGACCCAGTAATTCAACGTTTGATGTCGCCAAATAGTCGATCGTTCGCTTGGCGGTGTGCGACGAGGCGTTGTCGTGGTGAAGGAGGATCCTACTGCGAGGTCGTTTCTCTCGAACTTTTTCCAAGACAAGTGGCAAACAATTGGTAGTGTACCATTCTGCAGAAACTGTTTTTTGATCCTTTAACACAATTGTTGCAAAATGACCTATCCTTCCAAAGAACGAGGCCACCATTTTTTTTCCCGCACTTCGATCTCTCTTCACTTTAGTTGGCAACTCCTCGAAAGGAAACACCCACTGAGCAGATTGTCTTTTGGTTTTAGGATCATAACAGTAAATCCAGCTTTCGTCACCTGTTAGTATGTCGAACACAGCATTTGAGTCACCTCCGTTAAATCTTTCAATCATTTTACGACACCAATCCACACGATGGAGTTTTTGAGCCTCAGTCAAATTATGAGGTATCCACCGGGCGCAAAGCTTCCTGACCGCTAAATGTTCGTGGAGGATTTTGTGCACTTGACTCATACCGATGCCTAAGCTTGTCCGAATCTGTTGATAGGTCACTCTTTTGTCAGTCTCTATCATACGCCGCACAACACAGATGTTATCTTCAGTCGTCGCCGTAGAAGACCGTCCCTCACGTAAATCATCAGTGAGATTAGTGCGACCACGTTTAAACTCATTAAACCAGTTGTAAACAGTCGCACGAGATGGGGCTTCATCGTGAAAGGCCAATCGTAGTCTATCATAACTTTCTTGTTGACTTAAATGACATCGAAAGTCATAAAAAATCATTGCACGAAAATTTTCTCGTGTTAAATTCATGATGACGTGACACAGACAATTTTCAATTTGCCGCCAAATCGTAAAACAAATGACAAATGAATGAAATATATACTCAGTAATATTGGCAAAGAGTTATATTTTCAAATTTTAGAATTATTTTTTTATTATATTGTTTATAAGTGGCCAGTTCTAAGAACTTTCAGTTTGACCCTCGTATGTCTAATTATATCTACATAATAACGCCTGATTTATTAAATATTTATAATAAATTTGTAGTTATAAA